GGGGGAGGAAGGAGAACGGAGGAAAAAAAGAGGAAAAAGAGTGGACGGGAGGAATAGGAGGGATGGAGGGGAGGAGGGGAGGGTAGAAAAGGTACTAAAAGATAAAAACGCAAATTCTAGCTTTGGCTAAGAGACTGACATTTCACATTTCCGAAGCGCGACATCGGAACCCTCCCCAGCTCGTGTACGATTCCGCGTGTATCCGCTATCGCGCTCTCCAGTTTTGAAATGTCGGACTAAGTGAAGAGAGAATTGGTACAAAGTCTTGAGAGATAAATGAGCTCGCGAGAAAAACGCGTGTACATGTGCTCGTCTCTTGCGCGTGTGTGTGTGTGTGTGTGTATATGTGGTGTGTGCGTGTGTATGCGTGTGTACACGACTCGCGATGTCCCGTGTACGTATACGTGTACATGGGTATATGTGTGTGTATGTATACAATGATCGCGTTCATCGGTGAAAATGTAACTTTACATAGGATCAAGGTCGTTCGAAGTATCGTCGGGCTGATTTCGCTCGTCAGCCTTTTTCCGTGTCTCAAGTATAAAACTAAAGGAGGCGGCCGGCGAAAGCCTTTTTGTAAAAACTATATTCAATATATTTTGTTCTCTCTTTCTCTATCTCTCTCTTTCTCTATTGCGCTCAAGTAGTGTGTGCACGTGTTTGTTAGAAACGTCCTTTCTTTTTTTTTATTTGTTTGTTTGTTTATACACTGCAGGCAGGTCGACAGGTTTTGACTGTTCGTGCGTGTTATACATGAGACACTCCGTAACCGGGCGTGTGTTGTCCAACGCGAAATACGCGAATGTTTTAACGTGACGTTATCACCGATGATGATGACGATGATAATGATGATGCTGATGATGATGATAATGACGATGGCGATGGCGATTAATGCGCGCGTGAATGTGAATCGCCGATGAATTTCTCTTGTATTAATTTAATGATCATCCGTAAACGTCGATGTCGCGGTGGTCCGTTTTTGGAATAGCTATAATAATTATTATAAATATATATATATTTATATGTATATTTATATATGTATATAATAGGTCCATGCGTTTTCTTCTCCTTTTTTTATGCGCGTGTAATGCAACGTGTATGACAGTGAAGAGCGTGTATACTAGGAATGTACATAGTGTACGTAGAGATATTTAATTAGGTTGTGTATAAAACGATGATACATACTATTTACTCGTTACTCGTTTATATCAAACGACACATAGTTATGATATCGATTTTTTTTAGTCTCATGGTACGACGTTCCAGGGCACAACGGCGCGTCGTTTGCCAATAGGCTAATAGTCTTGTCCTGTCTTCTCGCACAAAATGTGATCGCGCGTGGTCACGCATCCACGCTGACTCTCGCACTCTCTCTTTCGCCCCTTTCACGAAAAAAAAAAACGATCGCGTGGTTATGATACAAGAATCTCCTCCAAATGAATGGTCATCAGTCTTTGAGCACAATTTGGCATAACGCGTGCTCCCTGACACGTTTAGATTTCTTGGATTCGAGTTTTGTACTTGAATAAAAAAATTCGTGGACATCTGCGTTAAAAGATAACAAAATTTATGTTCAGATAGATTCGGAAATTTGTAAATGTTTCAGATCAATAAGTAAATTATATTTCTTATATATTGTATGTATGTAATAATATATGCTTATTGTTATACAACATAATTGTAAAATAAGAATAAAGAAAAAGAATGTGTGTAATTTGAAAATTTGTATAATTCTAAAATATTTACACGTTTTCGAATTTGTCTGAATTTTTCCTACATAGTATATAAATGAATATAATAATTATATACATATATATATAATATATAATGAATATCTATACAATTCATATATATTATATAATATAGATTCACATACAATATGTAGAAATCCCCGTTGAGATATATAAATTCCGTTGAGATTTTCGCGAATATAAACTTAAAGCGATTTCGACTGGGATGCACCGATTGCACATTTCGGGTATTGTGTGTGTTCGGCTGGTCGAATGATACAGTCCCTCGCCAGTGGCACATGTTTAGACTTGATATACCGCAAAGGTGCATACTGGATATACACAAAGTGGCTCTCACAAATTATTCGGAGCCAGTTGGTGTAATCGCACTGCATCCATTTGTACCATCTCTACACTGCGCACTGATGGCACACTACTGGTGCAACCGAAATCGCTATTAAAAAACTTTGCCACTAATAGTACATAATAATATAAATATTAAAAATTAAAATTAAAATAATCCCAAGATTCGATATTATTTCTCATTTTTGTTCCACGGCTCGACGCTCGAAAACGTGACCATCCATTCGGATATCAATATATATACACATATATATTGATCATTATTATTAAATATTAATACTTCTAGTCGTATACTCTTGCTAGAGTAAAAGTGGTCTCGCGCGTCCCAGATATACATAAACATACCCGAACGCCATAGGCAAATACAGTGTGTTATCAGCGCATGTATTTTTGCTTCCATGATATGCGATAGATACTAACCTAACGAAACTTGTCCTTATATTCTCATTTGGTATGTCTTAGTCTCATTTTATCTTTTTTTTTTAAAAAAAAAAGAAAAGTAAATAGAAGAGAAAAAAAGGGAGAAGTTACTCCTTCACTTAATACAAGATTTCGATGAGAAGATACAATGAATCTGACGAAAGTCATTAAATTAAATGATGAAGATGAGAACAGATCTATCTTTTTTCTTTTCTTTTTCCTCTCTTACGCTTTAAGAGTTACAAATAAAATTATCGTGCGATGTCGTTGCATATAAAATTATACACGTACATGTGATAAAAATGATTTGGAACGCTATAAGTCATCGAAAAGGCTTTGTCTTTACTCCGTAAAATTATCGAAAAAACTTCACTTTAACATCTGAAAAAATAACGATATCGATGATTTCGTGTTAAATATACAAAGTAGACTAAAGAAAGTACTTAATAAAATCTTCGGCGCATTCGCCGGAAATACTTTCTCTTCGCAGAATCCACAACTGTGTGTTTGCATGTGCATGCCTGTGTGTATCTCGTATCTGAGTGCGCCGCACACTTAATCGAGGATCTCGATACGCTTATCGTTACGCTTTTTTTTTTTACATTTTTATGATTTTCTTTTTCTTCGTTTACCTTAGTAGTCAGTCGACTTCGGGGTCCGTTTAGAAAGAGAGAGGTACATACATGCCCGCATTCGCGTTCAAGAGCAAAGAATGCGTTTCTTGATTATTTTCGTTTCGTAGTAAATATCGTACATCGCTATATTTACAAACCCCCTCACGATACTTCTTCGCCTTTTCGCTTCTTCTACTTGTCGCAATGAACTTTCCGGCCATAAAAGGGAAGCCGCCCTCTTCTTTCGTTTCACGTACTTCGTACGGTATTACTCCGTTTCGTTCGCGGAGGGAACTTTACAAGTACCGCGATCATGAATTCTCCTCTTTCATGTGCAACTAAGTCTATCATCGAAAAATATCATTGGAGATACCTCTACTATACTACTAATTCTTACTTAAGTTTTACCTTCAGCGAACAGGAATACTCATTTCCAGTCAATGTCTCATGCAGTACGATTGTTGTATATGTATATACATAACTTGTGTATGTGTATGTATATACATATAGCGTTATTTGGGGGATTCCCATTTTTTATCTAACTTAACGTAAACATCGCGTCTGTGAAAGCTTACGAAAAAAAAAGTAAACTAAACCGAATCGCGAATTAATATAAATAGGGGGACAATTATACAGTGCGTAACAGCATTTTCGTAGCCATTATCCATTGCGGACGTCATATTAACGATATCAGCTTTATAATAAAGATGCAAGCAATTGTATCTTTACATTTTTTCGTAATTCTATTTTTTAAATTTCTTAACATTTTATCGCTGACAAATTAATCTTTTTAAGTATTGCACTTGAATGAATTAGTTTTTTTATATTGATTGACATTTATTCCAATAAAAATCGTTAAACATTTTTTTTTCTTGTAAAAGAAGAAATAAGAAAAATACCTCGTATATGTACAAGTATAAAGCAAGATGGTTTATAAAAAATCACTACTATGAGCAGTGTTACATACTGGTATAAAAGAGAAACAAAATAGAATGGTATACATCGCTATTATCATGTTTCGTGCACGAAGCGTATCCCAATCAGCATTGCGAATACTCGGAGGAAAAACGATTGCCGCGTACGTGTAAAAAGTTACATTACCGGTCGCAACGCCTTCGCTCTACAATCGCATCAAACCTTCTAAAACTTAGCCGTTCTACATGATGTTTTCCAAAAAAAAAAAGTGGGTAACATATGCAAAACTGTATTATGTGTATAAATTTCCTTTAGCAAATTGATAAACGTAAACAAAACAGTTTCTAATCTGTCAAGGCTTGCATCCACGAAAATACATTTAAATCATAAATAATTTACTATTGGACACGTGCAGCCTGAAGTGACTGATTTTTTGCCTCGCTCCCGCTCTTTCTCTCTCATTTTCTATCTATTTCTCTAAATACTTTTCTAAATACAAATGGCTGAGAATACTATCTACAATCGCTTTCTTCCTCTGGTCTTTCGCCTCATATGTATTTCCCTGTGTGTCGTGTATCGCGTATATCGCATATCGAATGTGGACGCCTTTTCCAATAGTACAAGCTTTATGATTTAAATTCTCGCGTTTATATACGGGCACTAACTGAAACGTGATCCTAACGCGATCCTAACGACGATCGCCTGAGAAACATCTACATCGAAGGACCGTTATTCAGCTTTATTTCTTTCTTTTCTCTCTCTCTTTCTCTCTCTTTCTGTTTTCCCCCTTTCCCTCCTTTGCTTGCTCTCTTTCTGTTGTGTGTATTACTATGATGGATCTACTTGTGGTGAATATATTGTCGCTCTTTACCATACAGACACATGCGGCAGAAAATAGGCATTCTTTGTTGCGATAATACACTCTACATCGTTATTCAAAAGGAACTTCGATTGAACTTTTTATTATACGCTTTATCCCTTTTGTTTCTCCTTTTGCTTTTTTTTGTCTTACAAAGGCCAAGGTCGTATGTGCACGTGCGACCTTACGTGGATCGAAAGCGAGCCGAATTTAAAATTAAAACGAGAGGAATTTCGTGTCAACTCGGGGCACTAACTCCGCTAGGGCAGAATTCGCGACGTTAATATTCTTAATACGTGAAAAATACGACGGCAGGCCGTGATTGCGTGGGAATTGATTCAAAGGCAGGAGTCGCTTTATTCGCTGCCGCTTTATTCGTCTCCGACGCAGCCACGGCTTGCCGCCAATCGCGAACGATCGCACGCGAGATTGTCTGAGGCTAACTCTTGCGGAATCGGTCGTGCACGGGAACAGCGTTATCCAGCGCCGTTCCATTTCTATGTCTTTCTTCGTCTACTTCAAATGAAAATTCGTGAGAAAGCGAGTAAACACATTGGAATAGAAACTGCGCGGGCACTGCAGGTCGGATCTATAACTGGCTCCGCTTGGCGCTACGCTGCGCGGGTGGTGGTGATTCGCCGTAGGTGTCAAGTAGGGTCTGAATAGTTAGGGTTTGCTGTTGTCATTATTTAATGACAACGGGTCGGGGAGCTTCTGCTGCTGCTGCTGCTGTTGCTGCTGCTGCTGCTGTTGCTGTTGCTGTTGCTGCTGCTGAGTGACCTCGCTGACGGCGCCGCCGCTCATTAGCTTCGCGTTGTTGTTCTCCGTGCTGGACATTTTCGTATATTCGCGTTTACGCAGCATGTTCTCGGTCTTGACGATTGTGATGTCCGGATTGTTCTCCAGCACTGACGTGGTGGAACACTTCGACACTGTCGTCGGCACTTCGATGTAGCCGCCGCCCTCGCGCTTGATCGACGTCGTGGTTGGCACGTTCGCGTTAATCTTCTGTAGGATGTCGTTGACGGACTCGCTGTTCTCCGCCGTCGTCGATTCCGTCGCGTTGTTGTTGCTGCCGCTGTCGATGTTACCGCTGGACGCTACACTGAGATCGCCGGCCAACGAGATTCTGTCCGGACCCTGCAGCGTTGACAGATAAGTCGCGAGCGTGTGGACGGTGACATTGAGGAACTCGGCGGCCCGGAACAATGTTATCTCCTTCCGCCGCAATTTCGCCAGCACTTCTGCGGGTCCCGGCTCAGACCAAAAATCCCTTACTCTGAAAATACATGTTGTCTGTATATTTATATCCCGATTATTTTGACGAAACTCTATTATTTTCTTTTGTTTTAATTATTTTAATTTAGGTTGAAATAATTTGTTCTAATAATAGTATGCTGTGTATATGTCTTCTTTAACGCCAAGTCCGAGGATTAGGATTTTTTAAATGCAATTTCGAAATTTTTATTTGCACGCGCCTACCTGTACGGATGTTTAAGGCAACCATAACTGTCGCGGTATCTGCCGTAGAGAGTGCCGTAAGAGACGCCGAGGATTTCGGCGGCAGTCTTCATCTCTAACTCTTTGCTCTTGATGGCGTCCATAACGCGGCGCGTGAAGGGTTCCTCCCAGAACTCTTGTCGGCGTCCCGTCGTCAGGTAATCGTTCATCTTTATTACATCCCGGAATTGTTCCGGAATCGACAGATTTGTGGCGTTAGAGTTTGACGGAGTGCTAGCCGCTGCAATTCGATAGTCAACATTTATGATGACTGCTAGAATGGTTACTGACGTAACTTGTTCATTTTTATTATATTATGCATTGTTTTTATTATTCTTCATACAAAAAAATAGATGATAATAAATAGAACGAGAAACCCTGAATAGTTACAATTGGCAATAAAAGGTAAAAAAAGGTAAACTCAAAAAACGAACAATATTTTAAATTAAATATTTATTTTCTTTTGTTTCTTTTTATTTTGAAAATTGTCTGAGGTGAGACCCGTTCAGATTTCATTTGATTAAGTCAGATTTGAATATTTTATTGTTTTTCCCAGCATATTTCATCTTGCAGGACAAGTAAAACAATATGCATGATTTTAATTTTATTTTGCATATAAAAACTATCATAACAATGATAATAATGTTAATAAAATGTACATGTACAAGTAATTACAAAAATAGAATATCTAGGAACATAAAGCATTCACAAGTATTAGAAACAATAAACATTGGACATTAAACTAAGCAAAGCTTTCTGAGAGTGGGCAAAAGTATCGAGTAATTGTAAGAGGATCATGTATACCTTTCTTTTCTTCGGATGTGTCGTCTTTAGGCATATAGGACAGCTAGAAGAAAATCACATAACGGTCAAAATTGTTGAATGAACTATTCGCGCAAGGAAATAGTTTTAACGTGATATTTGGTACGAGAGAGTTGACGGTTGATGCAAGAGAAAGTGGAGCGACAACTCTTTTAATAGACTTAATTTAATTATGTGCGCGCACTCACGTCTGCAAGTGGAGAGGGACAGAGGGAATCGTATCTAACGATAATTGGCCTTACCACCGGCAGTGGCGTTTCGTTATTCTCGTTCATCATCATCTCGTCGTCCCAACTCTCATGGTCGCCGCCCTCGCTCATCATTTCCTCCTGAGAAAAGGTTCGACGTGACACATTAGAGTCGTGCGTGGGTATCCCCGCGTACGTGCGATACCCGCCGCTGCGAGTCTGACAAAATTATCGTATTTTTACATTCACGACAACGGCCCGTAAAGTGCTCATCTTAAATATTCCGTGTAAGGCTCGACAGATTGCAGATTTTTCTCTCTCTCGCCTTCGTGTAATCTTTCTTAATCGCTCGTTCTGCATCGTCACATTTTTGTGCCGATACAAAATACAAATATTTCAAAATTTGAAAATTCGAATCGCGTAATTATTAGATTTCTAGATTTTCACTAACAATTAGAAGATAAGATCAGGTACTCTGAATAATCAAGATAACGTAAAAGAGAATGTTTATATTTTAAACATCTCAACATTTTTTTAACACCCTGATTTCAGGGCATCTGGATCAACATGTGGATGAACATTTTATAATGATAGCATGAACTTTTGTTCGAAAAAACAAGATAAAGTTTGTTAATCAAGATCCATTAATTAACATTCAAAAATAATCAAACTGAAACTCGTATAAATTACAAAATGTTATTATTATAGTATTTATAATAAATACAATTATATAAAATCATACAAAAATAATTAAAGTGGAACTCGTATAAATATATCAAATATTATAATATATATGATAAATACAATTATGTAATGTGAAATTATCTTTATAACACAATATTAGTTATTTGCTTCGACTTTTTGCGAACAGATTTGCGAGATGCTATTCTGCAACCAGTTCAAACCAAGCTTTACACGGATCGTTTAACCTGTGATAATGATAAGAGATACGTACGTTCCCGGTGATGCAAGTGATCTTGGGTGTGAAGACGTCGTGTGCCGATGGTGGGTCGTCCAGAGGCGGACGACCTCTGCGTCTCTGTTTAGTGGGTGGTGGCTCGTCGGTTTCGCCTTCCCGCAAGACCGTTTCGACGCCGGGGGTTCCGGTGCCGGGACTGTGGCCTGTATTGTTCAGGTCGTTTTGCGTGGAATCGCTGCGCCAGCTCACCTCGGCGAGCCCCTTGATGTGTAAATCCTCAGCGGTTTTCAGTAACGACGATAACCTCGTCTACAAAGCGAAACCGGACGAATGTAATCATTCTTCTCTAATGCCTCGTTATTCTGTTTCAGTAATCGGCAATTCTCTCACACGTAATTATTATTAAAATTCATAAAAATTATTATCGCACACACAACTTCATTGTACAGCATTGCACGTTAATGTAAATCTTAGTGGAATGTTTTTACAATCATAATATAATATTATTAAAATATTATTTTCATAATTTTGTAACGCATCGGCGAACAGTAAAAGGGGGAATGCGAGTGAGATTAAAGGTAAAAGTTCAGAAAATCCTGAAAAAAAATGTAGATAGATGTGTAGATAAATATGACTTGTGTAACTGCGAAACTCGTTAAATCCGCTGTAAGCTTCTCCGAGGAAAACTGGAAAAACTGATTGCTTATTTATAAATAAGCAGAGTGAAATATTTAGTGAGTTGTTTAAACATGTGTCACACCTTGACATCCGAATTAAACGTTTGAAACATAAAAATTTTGAGATACTACAATTACTGAGTGCATTCTTTAGAAACTGATTTTTTTTGTTATATTAAAATTTGTAACATAATTACCTTTTTATTTGATATATATATATATATATATATATATATATATCACATTTGAACAATCCATATATCGTGGAAAATATTGAAAATTTTCAGCGTTTCTCGTGCATGCAAAAACGCAGTGTTCAAATGCATTCAATTTTCTCTTAATATTATTACCAATGTTACAATGTTATACGCACTTTGTGCGGCTGAACGAAGAATACGAGTATCCACAGGTATAAGGGAGCCAATGAATACCAGTAAGACAGGCACGAACGGTCTCTTGGACGTGCCGGCACGATCAGCCATACTAAAAACTGTAATTGTAGTTAAAATACTGCCGAAGTATGTCGCGTGTTACGCAAGATATTTCAATTGTGAATTTTTTGTCAGTTTAATACAATTATTATTTTGTTAGTTTTATTGGAAATTTCAAGAAAGCCTTAAAATCTTTAATATCGATGATAAAATTTATAAGAAAGAATATACAATCAAACTTTCAAATTAGAATTCAAATTTCGCCGGAGGATCTAGTTTGCAGAAAGCGTGCGACTTCTGAGACATTTTGTATTAAGTATGAACTACCGAAGGAACTTACTAAGCCCAAGGGTGCGAGCAACGCGCCGATAAAGACGAAATTGAAATTCAAGAATCCATTGATGATGTAGTAACTGAACGGCTCGGTGCCATAGAGATTAGGCCCGTGGTTGGTGAAAACGTTGTAGAGTATGATGTTCAATGGCGCGACGACAAGTTTGCCGAAGTACAAGGAATCCACCCATACCATCGGTATCGCAATTACAACGGCGGATATAATGACCCACTTTATGAATTTGACCCAGTCTCGTTTGTGTATTAACATCTCAGCGGCGAGGGGAAGACTGAAAGAAAAGCGAAGCGAGGAAAATGAATTTGTTGCAACATGTATCGTGCCAAAAAAAAGTTATTGCTCGCGTTAGTGCGAGAAAAATTACCCGAGCAGCGCAGCGAATGGCCAGCCAAGCAACGAGGAGATAGCGGTAGCAAAAATAGCCAATTCATACTGGCGAGCGTACCAAGCTGCTGTAGCAACGGTACTCAGATACCTGTAATAAATATTGATATATAGATAAATATGTAGATAAATTATGTATCGAGAAACGCGAATGTACATTTCTTACTTTATAATTGTACCTACATTGAAAAAGACGACGGTAGAAATGCGGCACTGGCGATATACATCCCAGAGCTGAGAATGAGGAATACTAGTGTGAGTCTCGCCACGTGGATCCCGAATTCGCGGCAGACACTCCTAGAAAATATAGAGCGTTATACATACTGTAAAAACGCGTCGGTTCTTGCATGTGTCTATAAATGTCAGTTTTAAGAAAAAAACGTACTTGTAAAAGTATACTTCAGACAATGTGCAACCCACCGATAGGAAGCATCGCGTAAAGTAGAAAACTAGCGCGGAATTTGGTTCCAATAGGTAATGATAGACCTTCGCCGGTACCATGTGGATTAATAGGTACATGTACGAACGTAAGGCATATTCAGGACTGTACTCCCACGTTTGCTGGCCTGTTCCGTAGAGCAAGTAATGACTCTAAGACAGAACGTAATGCAGATACAGCAACATGCACATTGTGTCAAAATATATTATTCAATAAAAATATCAAAGAATAAGAGAAACTTTTGATTTTTTGTCGCATCGAAAACATTTTGTTGAAGTAAAAAGATTTTGCAAAATATCTACTACAAATTTTGTTGACAAAATGTCAGTAGAGATGTAAAAGAATTTACCATTTTGTATAACTATTTAAATAATACCCTTTATTACAATTAAATAATATTTAAAACCTACTAAACTAATACTAGTATTTTAAAAATGTGTAATATTGAATTAAGCTATATATATATATATAAATAAACTCACTGGTTCCCAGTAATTGTATGTTTCATCGCAATCTGTTATGTGACACCATACAGCAGAGCAAAATCTCGCCGATAGCAACAGTTTAAAAGCTGTGTCATAGCTGGGATAAACAAGTCCGACGTCAGAAGACTCTTCTGGCCTAGAACATCATTTAATTATTTGCGTTCTCTCTCTGTACTCTATAATCATATTTTTATAAATTGTTACATATTGCATGGATATACGTCATAATGTTTAGAACTATGTTTTTCTCGCTAAAACTTGCAAAGTACAATTATTAAATAAATTCAAATTACAATTATTAAAAGAAATAATAATAAAGATGCATATATCTTTCTGGTAACGTGAACATAAATGCAATATTGAATTGAAAACACAAGGAAAGGTAAATACATGAGATACACGATCCTGCATTTGAGATCCGGGAGACTCAGACATTTCATGTATTTTGAGTCATGGAGATTAAATTATCGTCGTTATTGAATATACTGCAAAATTAATGAAAGATATGTGGCCGAAGTGTAAACAGAGAATGCATTTGTAAATATTGCGCATACGTTCTCGTTTCAACAATGAGCAACTGACAGGTGAGGTTAGCCGGCCGAAGTTGGCAAGCATTTCGTATAACAATTTGTAAAATCTGATGGGAGAAGACATTGATCTTCTTACTTTGAGAATCTCCTTCCATTGATCTTTTTCAATTCTTTCTTTGATAAAACGAGCTGTCGTTGACGTTGGTTAGGTGCCATGGTCCTCTCGCTGTTCTTATTTATTATCCACTCGGGTCACATCGCTATCTACATACATTTATCGATGTCAAAAAATCAATACAGAGAAGAGAAATAATCGAAGCCGCAATTAAAATCTCACTCGTATGCCGAACTTTGCTTGAAGAGGAACAAACCACGAAACGTATGATCACGTATGACCAAAGAGATTACGTATGACACGCGTGTCTTTTTCACAACAGGAAACAGATGGTCAGGTTATGGAGAACCTATAGCTATATGTATTACTGTGTCCATTTAAATTTGAATTTTTGTCGCAAATGCAGCATAAAACTAAATATAAATTATGTTAAAACATTTTTGGAATATTTCGAAAAGGACACTGAAAAATTTTCTTTGCTAATTAAATTATTTCTGTCTCTTA